TCCAAGTCTTCAGTACTGATAGACGTGGCAACTAGAAAATGCTATCCTGTTTTTCTGTGTGAGATTCCTGTTGTGTATGTATCTTAGATGAATAAGGAGAAAACTGCCGGGTTAAATCATAGTGTATACCAAGACTGGATCAATGAGTGACTCAATGAAGGAATGCTTAATGCAGAAACCATTGCTGCTATTTCAAATACTCATTTTGATTCCATTCCATCTCATATCTCTTTTCTTTTAGGTCTGGTGTATTTCTTTCCCACATTGCCCTTTCAGCCACAGTTAATTTGGATAGTTATCTTAGTGATTTCTGTGAAGTCTGCAACATTGTGGTTGTCACAGCGACTTATAATTTCAGTTTGCCATCTCTCCAGTCCTGCATTCTTATCATTGCTAACTGAAAGGAGAAAGTTCAAGAACTTAAAATGTCTCAAAATAACTTCTCTTCCTCTTTTAATGTCTTTTCCTTGATTCATTTAATAATCGATGGGGTGCAAGACAGCCTTGGTGGAAAATACACTTTGGAGAGCCACATGGCCTAATGAAGGTGCACTAACCTGAGAAAGAACCGTTTTTCTTTTGTGCATGGCCTCAATATTGCTTTCATTTAATGATAGACTTCAGAGCTACACTGTTCAAATACTGCTGATGTTCTGTTTATAGAATGCATGACAACCTTGCAAGCCAGGGATCACTGAAAGCATGATAAAAAATAAAATAAAAGGTTTGTCCAGCTGGGGCAGGCAGGTGGGGAGGTGCTTCTCAATCTATCTCCAGGGCTGTATGGGATGCCATGACTAATCTTGGGCTATCCTTCTCAACTCCAATATTTTAATACAGATGAGACAAGCTTAAAATGAACATTCAGGGAGATCTCGAAAGAGAAGGATAAAGGAAAGATATCACAAAGAAACAAAATAAGCACTCTTAAGTCTGTAAGAGATGCATTAAAGGAGGTTTGGTCATCTTTTCTCCTCTAGGTTTATTGTATAAATTAAATAAAAATTGTGTATATTCAGGGTATACAAAGTGATGATTTGATGTACAAATACATTGTGAGATGATTACCACAAGCAAATTAGCATACCCTTCGCTATGCATAGTTATCATTGTGTGTGTATGTGGGAAGAACACTTAAGATCTACTCTAGCAAATTTCTCGTAAACAATACAGTATTTATCAACCACAGTCACCATCTGCACATTAGATCCCCAGAACTTATTCATCTTATAACTCAGTGCTTTTAAAGGTTAATTAAGTAAATGCAAGGTTCACTTACATTATTTTTCTTTAAATTCATAAATCTGTTTGAAGTAATAGTATCATGACTATAAGTGAGTCCAGAATAATGATAATCTTTATTTTAAGTAAATTAAAAATATAGCCAAGTACAGAATCAAGAACAGTTAACATTTGCTCATATTTACTTTTATTTCTAATCAAAAAAAAAAAATGTTACTGTATAGTTGAGATCTCCTTTACTCCCATTTCCAGCCTCTTGTCCCAAATTCATTCTTGAGGCAACTATCGTGACTTCATGTGTTTGTACATTAACACTCTATTTTTGATATAACATTAGATTTTTAAAATCTATCCATGTTGAAATGCATTATCTTACTGATACAATATATATAATAACCTTGTTCATTCTTTTTAACTGCTATCCAGTATTCAGTTGTAATGAATATCACATTTAATTTATATATCCCTCTTTGATATATATATATATTTTTTTTTTTTTTTTTGAGACAGAGTCTCGCTTTGTTGTCCAGGCTAGAGTGAGTGCCGTGGCGTCAGCCTAGCTCACAGCAACCTCAAACTCCTGGGCTCCAGCGATCCTTCTGCCTCAGCCTCCCAAGTAGCTGGGACTACAGGCATGCGCCACCATGCCCGGCTAATTTTTTATATATATATCAGTTGGCCAATTAATTTCTTTCTATTTATAGTAGAGACGGGGTCTCACTCTTGCTCAGGCTGGTTTTGAACTCCTGACCTTGAGCAATCCGCCCGCCTCGGCCTCCCAAGAGCTAGGATTACAGGCGTGAGCCACAGCGCCCGGCCTGATATATATTTTGAGTTTCAAGTTTTTGTTGTTATGAGAAGTGCTCAATGAAATATCCTTGGACATGTTTCCTTGTGTTCACATACAAACGATAATTCCAGACTATACATGGAGAAGTGGAATTATGAGTTTGTAAGGTGGATACATTTTCAAATTTGCTCAATATAAACAAATTTAATTGCATAGGAATTATATCAATGACACTCTCTCCAGAAATGACTGTAAATTCCTATTTCCCTGTATTTTGGCCAATATTCAATATTTATCATATGTTAAAATTTTTGTCAATCTGAGGCATATTCTATTGGTTTAATGTGCATTTGCCTACTTATTAGTGCAGTTGGTTATCTTCTTACACGTTTATTCACTATTCACTTTTTTTCTTTTGAAAGTTGTTCGCTTCCAATGATCTTCCTAGGGTTTACCTTTTGCATTTAGCAGGAAACTGAGGCTCAGAGAGGCCAAGTGACTTGCCCAAGCTCATAGAACTGGTGAGAATTCCAACTGAGATTTCAACCTTGGTATCCCGACTCAGACCATTTCTCTTTTTCCAATACTCACACTTCTCAAAACACTGATCAATACATTTTAACTCCTTTTATCTCACAGACCTTGACCTTCTGATCTGGGAAGATTTTCTAAACAGACACCTCTTGAAGAAAGTGGAGTTTTCCTGCAAAGTTAAGTTTGAGGTTCTAACAAGAAGCCCTGCCCCAAAGTGTCTGAAATCCCTTGGAAATTTGAAGGTTTTCTGGTCAAAATCCTTACAACAACTGTTTTTAAAAATTATTTTTATTTACAGACAGGGTTTTGCTCTTTCACCAAGGCTGGAGTGTAGTGGTATGATCATAGGTCACTGTAAACTCAAACACTTGGGCTCAAGCGATCCTCTCGCCTCAGCCTCCGAAAGTGCTAGGACTGCAGCTCTGAGCCACTGCACCTGGCCACAACAGCCCTTTGAAGTATGCACACAACTATCGTCATCATTTTACACAGAAGGGTTAAAAAAACTTGCCTAGTGTAATAAGACCAGGAAGAGACAAAGCAAGAAAAGTGTAAAGTTCTGAGTTAGTAGAAGATCGACCAGATTGGTGCAGAAAAAAATTTGTGGAGGAGGTGAAATCGAGTGTTGAAAGACAGTTTTCTTCCTTCCTCACTTTCCCCCAGATTCAGCCTTGGAGAATAACAGGGCAGCATAGCTACAAGGGATCTTTCAGAACATCCTTCTGAACCTTTTATTGTTCTTCAGCAAAGAAACTGAGTCATCATCTAACTTGACTTACAAGAATCAAATAATGGCAAGAACAGCAAGAACACTCTGGCAGAAACTCCAGCCAGGATTGATGTATGGGGATCAAAACAGAATATGCACATGTCAAAACATCAAGAAGCTTTCTTTACTGTATAGGTTTTTTTAGTTGAACTTTCTGTAACAAGAACTCTCAGTTAACGAGGAGTACAGCCAAACTTCCAATCTAAACAAAGGAGAGACAGTGGTCTAGAGTGTGTGTGTGTGTGTGTGTGTGTGTATGTGTGTGTGTGTGTGTATAGATCTAGAATTCACTTCTACATAGAGTTGCACATGCTGTTGCCTTAGTCTTTTTGGTTTCCCAGCAATCAGAATTCCCACTTCATTTATCCTTCCAATCCTGATACCTCCCTCCCCATCCCACCTCATTGGTGGACATACTCCACCTGTTCTCTTCCCTGGAGCTATGTCCGCTGGAAGGAGGAGCGTTTCATATAGAAGGAGGGTAAGAAGGATGAAGAGAAGAAAGCCCATCCCATCTGATTCTGGTGACTTGTGAAAAGACAAAGAAGAAAGGAAAAGTAAGGCAAATCCATGGTGACATGTGACACTCTGCCGTCTCTGGCCAACATCATGGAAGGAAGAGGCAGGAGAGAGGGGCATGAAGGGGAGGGGCCACTGCCCACTTTCCATATGGAAGGGCAGGAGAGGTCATCTCACAGGTGATGGTCCCTACTAGCTGCTGGGGACCGATATAGGTAGACAGTGGGCCTGAGTCTGGCCAGCCCAAGCCAGTCTCAGTTTCTTTATGAAATGAATGGGATCCCAGAACCTGTCAAATGTCCCCAAAGGGTATTCAGAAATGAGTGAGCATTTGGCTGGACATTTGCTGGAAGAGATCACCATTGTTAGGACAAAGACACCCTGTAGCTGAGGAATGCACCTCAAGCACAGGAGACATCGCCACATTTCAGGAGCCCACAGCAAGAGCAAGGTCTGAGGAAGGAATGGGTCAGTAGACAGGGCTCACCAGAGGACCTAAACCACAAGAGAACAGATCTCAAGCTATGTTAGCTGCCTGCTTCAGCAATGGATGTCAGAAGGACGCTGAATTGATGTAAGGCCTCAAAATTCCCAGATGCCATGTTGGAGAAGAGCAGTGAGGGGGCTCTAATCTAAAATATTAAGTCATCCATAACATATGAGTCATCTGACCTACTTTAAATCATTGGAAGCTACTGCATTTACTGGCTATGTCTTAAATACAGTTTTCTTACTACCCAGGAGAGCTGTACGGAAAATCATATCTATTTTTTAGATGAAAAGCACTTATTTTTTCTATGCTTATCCAACTGGTATGTGGTAATTTTTCAATGCAATGATATCAGCTTGATTAGAAAGGGAAAGAATTGAAGTGGTACCAATGAGAGCCTGGATATTGCTCTTAAAGCCATCAGAAATCTAGGCATCTAGTGTGTCTGTCTGTCTCTCCCTCTCTCTCCAGTTCCATGTGCACACAGCCATATGTGTGGCCAGCAGAGAAGAGTATTTTTCAATTTCAATCCCAATCCTAAATTCACTGGGAATAGAAAACAAATATGGCTGCTGGGAGGGCATTCCCTGGGGATGGCAGCAATATTAAAAAACTGAGGTCAGTGTCGTGGTTGTCTGCAAGTCTTTGTTTTTTTGTTTTATCTTTCAGTTATTTAATTAGGTTCTTTGTAAAAATTTAGAATACCAATCTGTGAGGATAAATTCCATTTGTCAGGGCAAACAGAGATCGCAGAGAGCCCTGGAGCTGAGGAATTGCCTTGATTTTTGGTAAAATTGGGGAGTCTGCAGCTTTCAGATCCACTTTGCGTTGTTGTGTAATCTTGTGTTTCTCTTTTTCTGTGTCAAAGATCTGACCCTCATGGTGTCTGGGATCCCACAGATGCTGCTTCTTGAAGGAAGCATCAGTGAGATGCTTAGGGATTTTCACGTTGCTGACGTCAATTTTTGTGCCGATGACAAATTTCTGGTGTGTCCTTTGCAGAGGAACTTGATTAAGGGACAGAGGTCCAGTCAAAAGTAACAAACCACTGCCCAGTTGCTTTGGGAAAACCCTCTTGCCTCTGTGACACCAGGTGAGGATGATGAGGGTGGTTCTGGAGTGATGCTAGCTTGCAGGTTTCTGACGTGTTGGCTAAAGTGTATTTTTTGCCATGGCTCAACAGCTTTAGAAGCACATCTTCAGTTGGATATTATCTAGGCCTTTTGCAAAGTTTAACCACCTGAGTACCACCAGTCTTGTCACCACCAGCTAGTTTTGTAACCGTGGCAAGCACCTTCGCCTTCTTTTTCTTTTCAACCTTGAATTTTACCCACTGAGTATTTCCTGTTGTGCGTGGCCTTTCTAGAATACATAGCAGATGGGGAATATTCCTCTGCCATTTCCTCTGATGAGAACAGGATTTTGGCTGCAGTGGGGCCTTCCCTTCTTGAGCTTTTTAGCCTTGAAGTTACCCCTTTTTACTTTGCCACTGGCATCAGCCTTCTTGGCTTCTGGTTTCTTCTCTTTAGTATCTGGCTTCTCAACTTTTTCACCCGCCATCTTGCAAGATGGGAAAGAGCTGTCTGCAAGTCTTCTACTTTTTAACTTTACATTAACATTTTACCATATGATTGACTATTTCATGTAAATATTTTATATGGGTGCATAATAGTCCATTCTCCTCTTGTTGGTAGTTTAGTTTTTTACCTCGATGCTTTTCCAATATTATATATATAATACTATGTTGAACATGCTTAGACTTAAATTTTTGTGCCCATATGTGATTATTTCTTTAGGACACTTTCATAGAAATGGAACGACTGATTCCTAAGGATCTGGAATTTCTAACTGTGTCTAATAGTGAAAATTCCTAAACTCATCCTGTTTGAAAATATCCCTTATAAATATAGTCATTCTTGAAACAAAAATATCCAAAATATTCACTCTCTTGCACACACAGTGAGTGTGTGCACTCATTAGGATTTACTACATTAGGGTTTACAATTTAATGCAAATTGATGTAGTTTTAGATTTTAAATTTGGTAATATTTTAAATTCGTGGCTGTGTTTTGGTCACATAGAGATCTTTTAAGTATTGCAAATATCAAAAGCTGAAGCTGTTAGTTCACAAACTTTTTAAACCTTAGAGTAAATTCTTTTCATTTCTAGCCTTTGCTATAAATATCTGCAAACATGATGCCACATTAGTTAAGTCTGTGAAGATGCTTAGCTTTGGAGAAAGCTCCTTACTCCTTTGGAGTAAGCAAATCCCATTTAAAAATGGAGTTTACAGAACTTAGCAGAATAAAAGATTCACACATTTGAAAATATAAATACTTCAAGCAGGATCTGTCACAAGCCCCAAAGGAGCACTTAGCGTGTTAAGGAGGGAGGGAGCACTGCCAACAGGAGATTGTATTTTAAGGAACCACTTAACTACTAATAACAATATTGTAACCCTTGCTTACACCTCCTCTCCCCAACTAGACAGGTATCCTGCCTTGTTTATTTTACTTAACCTTGCACCTAGAGTGGAAATTCAATGTGTTTTATTGAATTGTTTGTTAGAGCAATGGATGGATCTATGAAGACCTGGTAGTCGTTCATGATGACCTGGCAGTGCTCCATTAGGAGCTGCGTATCCACCAGATTGCTCAGGTTCTGATGTAGAGAGGAAATCTTGAAGAGAAAAAGAGGCGAGTGCCAAATCCTCCAAACCATCCCTTCAACCTTTGATCTCCTCAGGAGGAATTGACTATGCTGTAATAGGACTGGTAGAAACTGAATTTCTCCACATCCTCTGTATGTGCATCATCTTGCACAGATTTACACTTTGCATTTATTTATTGAAATGGTGAAGAGGCTCTGGATTCAGCAGTGCAATGTTTAATCTCTAAGGCTCTAAGCTTCATCTGTGAAATGGGGATGATAACAGCATTGACCTCACAGTGATCTGAGGACTGAAGGAGAGAAACACGTGAAGGGCTTGGCTTGGCCTCGTGCCAGGCCCTCAGAGCCATCAGCAAGCCCCAGCCTTCCTGATGTTGAGACTCTGGTTCTTGCTCTGCCACTTTTTACACAATCAAACTTTGTAAAATATTTTCAGCTTTTTCAGGTTAGAATCCCATGCTGACTCAACTGAGGGAGGTTGATCAAAAATGGAGATGCCATTTGATGAATATGCTTTTTGTCTAAAATTCATGAAATGCCGAAAAGTGTTTCTAAAATATCTAAGATTACTTTGTGATTAGATTCAGTAATTCACCTAAGGTAGGATGAAAACTTCTGGAAAAATAAAGTACCCAGGGAGTATTTCCTGTCTCTAGATCTTTCCAGGAACACTGCCAACCTTACGGTCATTTGCTTGGACACATATCATGTATACTAATTTTTTTTAAAAAGGTAAACCTCTACTGCCCACATATTTTTTTTTTTTTTTTTTTTGAGACAGAGTCTCGCTTTGTTGTCCAGGCTAGAGTGAGTGTCCTGGCGTCAGCCTAGCTCACAGCAACCTCAAACTCCTGGGCTCGAGTGATCCTTCTGCCTCAGCCTCCCGAGTAGCTGGGACTACAGGCATGCGCCACCATGCCCGGCTAATTTTTTTTATATATATATATCAGTTGGCCAATTGATTTCTTTCTATTTATAGTAGAGACGGGGTCTCGCTCTTGCTCAGGCTGGTTTTGAACTCCTGACCTTGAGCAATCCGCCCGCCTCGGCCTCCCAAGAGCTAGGATTACAGGCGTGAGCCACAGCGCCTGGCCTACCCACATATTTTAAACAATAACCTATTGGATATTTCCTGTAATATCTATATCAATTTCCTTCTTAATTAAGTATAAATCCAGGCTTCTTAGGCTGATAGAGGTGGCTACTCTTTCTCCCTTTGTAGCAAGCCCCTCATGGAAAATTTTCTTAAGGGCAACGTAAGAAATTCAACAAGGCTGTTCAAAGTTTTCCTTATCTTTACTATCCTTTGATGCCATGGGCTGGTATAGAGGATGAGCTAAGCTCTTTGGATTCAAAACACAACCCCAGCTATTGATTCTAATAGAGAACTATCTCGTTATTGTTACAAGTGTCAGAGTCTGTGGGAACACAGGTCTGATAACAATGTTACTGGAATTATAAGAGGTGTAACCTGACTCACAAAGAATTTCAGACCACTTTTCGATGAGCTGAATGCATAAAGCATAAAACAATAAGCACTCCTCTATGTGCAGACAACATGACTCATTGTCACACAACAGTAATTATTTTAACAGAGCTTGGCCTTGCTATTTATAGTACTATTAGAAATAAGAGTTAAAGCTCAATGTTTCCAAAGCAAGTTATAATTTTTGGAAAATGACTTTTAACATTTTATTTGCGAATACAACTCATACACTTCACTAAGGGTACATTATATAAGTTCTAAAAGTATCTAATAAGAAATTATATTAATTAAATATTATCCTTCTGAATGTGCTTTATCACAGACTTTTTTTAATGGTAAAAGAGATTTTTTAACTGTGATTTTGAACTTTTTTAAAAATAAAAATAAGAGTCGGGGACAGGGTTTCTTAGTCGAGTTACATATTAGACCCCCTTTAAATATGTTTAAATTGTTATATTTAATGTATATAAAATATTGTATAAAACTGACAAGCAAGTTGGGAAATATAATTTTTTAAAAATGAACTCACCTACCTTAAGAAATAGGACATGGCCACACATGAGAAACCCACTGTGCGTTCCCCTCTGTCTACCTCATTCCCTTGAAGAATCCACTAGCCAGTTTTGAGCTTAGCTTTCCCTTGTGTTTTAAAAAATACTTTGAATATATATGAACCCTTGCTTAAACAATATATTGTTCATACTTACTTTGCAAAAATTGTTTTATACACTGTGTAATAATCTATAGTTTGCTTTATAAACGCTTTTGTTTCAACTGCTCTATAATCTTCCATTGTGTGAATATACTTCAGTATATGGAACTAGTCTTCTGCCTATGTACATTTTGATTATTTCCAGGGTTTTGTTGCTACTACAAGGCTGCTGTGATCATTCTTTAACAATGCAAGATATCTTTCTGGGACATTGTCATCAGTATTTTAGATTTTAGCCATTTCAGTAGGTGTGTAATAGTATCTCGTTTTTTTTAATTTGCAATTCCCAATTGACATGAGATTGAGCTTATTTTCACAACATCTTCTAATATGTTTATTTATCATCTGTGTATCTTCTTTAGTGATGTATCTTCATATCCTTTGCCTATTTTTTAACTGGACATTTGTTTTCCTATTGTTGAATTTTAAGAGTTCTTTTTATATTTCAGATCCAAGTTTTTTGTCAGGTATGTGTTTTGCAAAAATTTTTCCCTAGTCTACAGTTTGTCTTTTCACTCTCTTAGCAGTGTCTTTCACAGAGCAGAAGTTTTTAATTTTAATGAGGTTTAATTTATCCATTTTTTTCTTTCATAGATAATGCTTTGGGTGGTGTATCTAAAAACTCATTGCTAAACCTGAGGTCACCTATTTTCTCTTATGTTACCTTCCAGAGGTTTTATAGTTTTGCGTTTTACATTAGGTCTATGATTCATCTTAAGTTAATTTTTGTGAAAGGAATAAGGTCTATGTCTAGATTCATTTTCTTACATGTGGATTTAGCACTATATGTTGAAAAAACTGGTTTTTTCAGCACTGAATTGCTGTTGCTCCTTTGGTAAAGATGAATTGATTATATTTGTATGGGTTTATTTTAGGGACTCTGTATTCTGTCCCATTGAACTATTTGTTTATTTGGCCAATATCACAATGTCTTGATTAATGTAGCTGTATAATAAGTCTTGAAGTCAAGTAGTGCCAGTCCACTGAGTTTGTTCTACTTCTTCAATATTGTGTTGGCTTTTCTGGGTCTTTTGCCTCTTCAGATAAGTATTAGAGTCATTTTATCAATATCCGCAGAATAACTTGCTGGGATTTTGATTTGGACTGCATCAAACCTACAGATCAAGTTGGGAAGGATTAACATATTAACAATATTAAAACTTTCTATCCATGGACATGGACTAGCTCTCTATTTGGATCTTTGATTTTTTTTTCATCAGAGTTCTTATGATTAAAATTTTATTATAAATTCACTTTCTTTAATAGATATAGAACAATCTAGTTTATCTACTTTTTTTTACTGATATTTGATAGTTTTTATCTTTCTGGGGATTTATTCTTTTCATATAAATTGTCAAATTTATTGGCATAAAGTTGTTCATAATATTCCCTTATTATCCTTTTTTTTTTTTTTTTTATTTTTTTTTGAGACAGAGTCTCGCTTTGTTGCACAGGCTAGAGTGAGTGCCGTGGCGTCAGCCTAGCTCACAGCAACCTCAAACTCCTGGGCTCAAGCAATCCTTCTGCCTCAGCCTCCCGAGTAGCTGGGACTACAGGCATGTGCCACCACGCCCGGCTAATTTTTTTTTTATATATATATATATTAGTTGGCCAATTAATTTCTTTCTATTTATAGTAGAGACGGGGTCTCGCTCTTGCTCAGGCTGGTTTCGAACTCCTGACCTTGAGCAATCCGCCCGCCTCGGCCTCCCAGAGTGCTAGGATTACAGGCTTGAGCCACCGCGCCCGGCCTTCCCTTATTATCCTTTTAATATGTGCAGAAAGTGTAGTGATAATGATGGCCCCCTCTCATTCCTGATGTTGGATATTTGAGCTCTTTTCCCCCCACCCCTCTCTACTGATTAATCTATCTAGAAGTACATTAA